CTGTTTGCGTGTTTCTGTAGCAAAAATTTTCGAAGTTTGAAATTATTTACAGAAGATATGTTTTTCTTTAGTTCGGTACTTGTGTATGCGGTTGATTTAAGATTTGAGTTGCTAATGTTTTTTATAGTTTGTAAGATTTGAGAAGGTTTAATTTTTTAATTAGAAATTTTTCTCATAAGTGTAACTTTTGATTATCTGCAAAGTTTTCAATACCAAGTAGGATGCGACATAGGAATAATGTATCTATCAATTTTTCAATTTCTCCATGGAAAATGTTAACCTTGAAGTTTTATTATGATGACATTTTGAGGGCTAACTAATACATGCTTGAACGTTTATAACAATTTGATTAAAAATGTCACTTAATATTCAAAGCATTTGTGTTTTTAATAATTTATTTCTGTAATGAATAATTTCTTTCATTTTTTTAAAGTTAGTTTGCTTTTAAGTATAAAGTTTCACTGACCCACAAAAAACCGAAAAGTGTTTTCTCATGTTGAAAAATAATTTTTTTGCCCAATTTCAGTACACGTTTTTATGTCAAACACTGTAAAATTTCTTTTAATTTTTGTCTTTTTCTTTGTTTTTTTTCACATGTAGCTGCTTGTATTATCTTCTAAATTGTTTTACACACACACACCACACACACACCACACACACACGCGCACGCACACACACCACACACACGCACACACACACACACCACACACACATACATGAGACAGCCAACTATATTGTTTTTTTTTCAAGTTTATTCATGTATGTCTAGAACTAAGAAATAATGATAGGGCAGAATGATGCATGTTTGTCGTAACTATAATTCATATTTAAGAATGAAAAAATTTAGATAGACACAGACCAACACAAACAAATATGCAAAGAAATGAAAAAGGCACACACACACACACACACACGCACACACAAACAAACTTTTACACACATAAGAGTGGAAAAAACCTTTAAAAACCCACATCCATATAATTGCTCAGTTTGTTTACACACACACGCAATAATTAAGTGTTTAGAAACTTCTAAAGGGTATCTGCCACTTAAATATTCTGACAACATGCAAGTTGAAATTTTTTTGATGGCCATTTTGTACTTATCATCACCGTCACGTATTCCACAAAGTCGTTTCTGCTTTCTTTATTTAATGACAAAGTTTGAAAATTTGCTTACATGCGGCGTGATGGTCTAATGGTTAAGGTCGCCTGGTGCTGTTTCGCAGTAACCGGATTCGAATATGACAAAAAAATCCCGCCTATCACATGCTTCGTGTGTGATGCGTTGTTTAGCACGTATTCATTTAATCTTCTGAATTTTTGAAGAGTGTAATTGACCTTTAACCTTTTAACCTTTGCAGGCCTAGACTTCAGGAAGGTAGTACCTAAAAAGATAGATAATAATATAATTTGAACTATTTCAAATTTAAAAAAAAACACAAGGTTTAATAAAATAAAATTGCTAACATAATCGATTTTTTTTTATACAGGTTTATTTTCTATCAAAAACATTACGTACTATTGCTACGTTGGTTGAGGTTAAAAATTGTAAGGATCAATCTATTTATGAGTTTCTACTGAATGGTTGAGGACTTCAACTTTTGTCTTGCCAGAAGACTCCATACCTTCAAATCTCTTGTTTGGTTTTTTTAGTCATTTCTTTCACCATAATTTTATTGGAAATCATTAAATTATTCAATAAGTATTAACAATAAATAATATAATTAATAAAAATTAATAATTCAATAATAATAATTATCATTATAATTCCATCAATTATTCAATTAGTCGATTTGAAAGTTTTTAAATAATATCTATCTATCTATCGAGATTGTCCATATACAAATACATCAATACATAATGGTGCTGAATGTTTGCCTGAGTCAGCTCTTTGAAATATTTCCTCGAGTGTAAACCTATGCATTGGCACGTCTTTCCTATCTTATTTCAAACTTTAAAAAATTTTTTTACAAAAAAATCGAATAAATTGCCAGCCAGAAAAAAAAACTCAAACCCACCTAAGAGTTCATTTAAGAACTCTCACAAAACTGCAAGCAAACATTGAAAAAGCAGCTACTCATAGGAAGAAAAACTGAAACATACAAACATTCAAACACCCATACCAACAAATATACAGATATAAAACATACAATCAAGCCAATATACATTTACAAAAACATACAAACAAATCAATATACAAACGTGAAATTTTACATATACCAAAACATACAAACAAATCACACACATCCATAAAAATACAATCCCACAATCTCACACACGCATAAAAACACATACAACCACAAATACACAAAAACGTTTACAATCATCCTTATCGATACCCATACGGACCAACAACAACTCATGAACAGAGTAATCCAAGCATGCAACTACACATATAGAGAAACATACACACAACTAAACACACACAGCCACATAAACACACAAACACATGCATACATAAAAAACAAACAAACATCCGACCGTAAATAGATAAACAGACACATTCAAACACACAACTTCACATACAAAAAACATACAAACATACAAAAAACATACACACAAACACACAGCCACACGCAGCCACAAACACACAGCCACACGCAGCCACACAAACACATACAAACCTACAAACAGACTAACAAACAAACAAGCACCCAACCATAAACACAAATACATACACACAAACAGACAAACAAACATCCAACCATAAACACATACGCACAAACAGACAAACATTCAACCTAAACACATAAACACAAACTCATACACACAAACAAACATTCAAACATAAACACAAACACACAAACAGACAAACAAGCAAACATCCAACTATAAACACAAACACATACACACAAACAGACAAACATTCAACGATAAACACAAACACATACACACAAACAAACAGACAGATAAGCAAACATCCAACCATAAATACAAACACATACACACAAACAAACAGACAAAAATTCAACCATAAACACAAACACATACACACAAACAAACAGACAGACAAACAAACATCTAACCATAAACCCACAAACACATTGTTTCACACGAGCAACGCTTTATCTCTCGTACGCTAGCTCGCCTTTTTGTTTATGCTGGCTGGTAAATTATTTGCTCCTGTGATGTGGATGACTTGCCTTCGTTGAGTTTATGACGGGCAGTTTTGAGTCAGATGTTGGTCGTTTGAGACATGAACTCTTTTGTGGATGGATAACAGTTATAGAACTCTCTGTGTTCATGTATCATTCCTCATCTTTCATATACAATACCGTATTAGTAATGCAAAATTTTTCGCTATGTCTAGGTTAAATTTATACAAATTTTCATTGCTTTTGTTCGGTTCTAATGTTAAACTGGAGTTTCATTCTAAAACTTACAGCTACATTTTTGTTGAGGTTCATTTGCTATATTTTGTATTTTATATGTTTTACTTTTGAGGAATTTTTCACCAATATCAACAGCATATTGTCAAAATAACTTTTTTGAAACATACCAATGGAAGACGATTTTGGAATGTAAAGAATTGATTTAAAAGTAACTTCTCCTTCTGCAGTAAAGAAGTCATGCGTATTCACGTGCAGTGTGTGTGTGTGTGTGTGTTTGTATGTATGTGTGTGTGTGTGTGTCGGTACGATTGAAAATTAATTCAAGAAACAACAGATTAACCACACAAAACTGAGAATAACAACATTTCTATCCAAGATTAAACGCCGAAACTTTGATAACTAAAGGTTAATAACTTGAACGCTACAAAATTTTCAAAAATTTCAAATTTCTAGTAAACATCATCGTTAGAAATTAACATTAGAACAGTCTATTGACCTAAAATG